TCCATTGTTCAATTCCCTAAGAATTCTTTGTTGTCGTCATCAGTTTTTATATCTCTGCTTAAAGGGAAGAAACTTTCATTATGCTTACAATATGTTCATTCTATTTGTATTTTACAGGTTGATATATTACTTCTCCCAAATTTCAGGAGAGGTTTACTCCTCTCTTAATATATGTTGCCGACATCAATTATTAATTTATTGTCGTGAGGATGTTGCAATGTTGCTGAAGTCAATTATGCCATTTTTACTGGTACATTTCAGTACAAGTGTGCCATTTCAGTCGATAATTTGTTCGATCTCAGTCACGATTGATACACAAGAATGGATCAGATCGAGGTCATTATCCCAGGGAAGTGAATCCCAGTGAAACGGTAAAAAGAAAAGACTCGCAGAGCGAAGAACGGGCCAATTGGCTGGAGTTCAGGAGAGAATAATTCATGATAAAACATGTTGGCCATTCTAGAGTATTTGAAGGGAGAGATGCAATGGAAGAATACAGAATATGAAATAATGAGTTGAAAAGCGAAATGCCTTGATATTTTATGAATCCCGTTCACGGACGAAAATTTCCAGATGTCACGGAAAAATCCGACGTTTTCCTAGTTCCCAAACTGAAGCCTCGAGAGGAAACGAAGACTGATCACTCTCAAGTCCACGACCGCCTCGAGTCCAAAGACAAAAGCTTCTACAGAGGCGTCTTGGAGCGCTAAAGAATGGAGAAATCTTTCGACATGAAGAACGATGTCGAGAAGATAAGGGCTACCTGGGGTTTACCCTAATAACAACATGAGCAGACAAAGAATACGGTCATCGTGGCGATGAATCGTATGATGGCCTCACCAACAAGGTATTTCCTTTTTAGTCTTGTAATGTGTGAACGCCTCATAGAAATGGGAAATGGTGACCATGAACAATTTATGGGAGTGTAAATAATACAGGAAAACCCATGAGAATATATTTCTGCACTTACATAAGGTCTCTGCAAATGCGCGTCCACGTGGACGAAGTGCCATCAACAACTGCAGTCGTGCGGAAGCCAGGCATCGGATACCCGGTTGATTTTCGCAGCTGCGGTTGTTAATGGTTTTTGGATATGGAGGGCACGTGTGCACCTGTGGTGACGTCATTCCCCGACTTTCAAACCTTCCGCCTGCAAAAATGACTCTAAACCGCGCCAACCGAGAAACGACCAGACGGAATCCCTACCACGCAGCAGTCACGTTCGGCGGCATCGAGTTTCATTCGCAGGTAGGATGGGATCCGTCTCCACAGGTGCGACGATGTCATGCATGCTCCCTGCAATCTCTAACTTCTGACGATAAAAGACTCTGCTCACCGTCTTGCTTATCGTGTTCCTATCTCCAAATCTTCCCCCCCCTTCCCTCTATCGTCCTCTCTCCCCCTCCCTTCCCTTGTCTGAACTATAATTTATTGAGGGAGAATCCTAATTCCCTTTCAGCACATCTGTGAAAGCGGTGCAGGTTACCTCATACAAGGGCTCAGAATCCAAACGGTTTGGTATAGGGTAAGCAATCCGGTTTCTGGCCGGTCTCCAATTGTTGGCCAGTGAGGCCTAAATCCAGCATAATTAGTTAATCTGCAACATAATTCGCGTCCTTCCGTTCAACTCTGAAGGGAATTTCTGAAATGAAGAAGCTTTTTCCCAGCTACGCGCATGGATTGCTTCATTCGATGTACGCGTCGATAGAACTGAATCCATATATGGCAAGGTACTAAACCATCCAGCGAGGCACGATTCCATTAATTCCCTTGAACAGACAAAAAATACGGTCATCGTGGCGATGAATCACACGATGGCCTCACCAACGAGTTATTTCCTTTTTAGAATAGTCTTGTAGTGTGTGAATGCCTCTTAGAAATATGGTGACCAAAAACTATCTATAGGGGTGTAAATAATACAGGAAAACCCATGAGGATATATTTCTGCACTTACGTAACGGCTCTGCAAATGCGCGTCCACGTGGACGAAGTGGCATCAACAATTGCAGTCGTGCGGAAACCAGGCATCGGATGCCCGGTTGATTTTCGCAGCTGCGGTTGTTAGCAATGCTTGTACGTGTACGCATGGGTTGAAACCAGTGATGCAGCATGATTCGCGTCCTTCCGTTCAACTCTGAAGGGAATTTCTGAAATAAAGAAGCTTTTCTCCAGCTACGGCAATTTCGGATGTACGACAGGAGTTTCACAATCATTTTTGTTGGGCTGTCTTCTAGGAGGGACGGAAATGGATCATTCGTTGACTCGGAGTGGTTGACATTACGTTGAATGTTTTATGCTCTTAAGAAAAAATTTAATGAAGGGTCTACCAATATTTTTCCAAGTTTTTAAATTTAGAACGTTGAAAAGAAGAAAGGCTTTCCCATCCTCTTTCGAAGATAACGGCCATCACACAGCCCGAGGCGAATTCGCGGTATTTTTTTTTTTAACATCGAGACAGTGATAAGGTGTGGGCATTCGATGCGGTAGGACACGGACAATATTTGCATTTGCATTTTTACTTGTGATGGCGTCCGACACGCATTTAAGTTTCGGTGAGGGTTTGTCCAAAGATGTTAGAGTCGAGGTGGCGAGAGAGCATTACATTAGGCAGGGCATTACATCGTCGAGCAATCCATTACGAAACGTCCACCTGCATCCAACTGACTGAACGGTGGATTTGTAACCAGGTGGATGTCGCTCCAACAGGTGGGATAATGTGTCCCTCTGTGAAAATGTTTCTTAGGGCATTTGCCAAAATTTAGCGCCAAGGAATTGGCGTAGGATTGTTTTGCCCGTATCTTTCATGTCTTACGTAACCCGAGGATTCAACTTCATTGCGAAATCTGAGACAGTGTTTTCCCCCTAACGATTCTAAAAATTGCGGTCATATACCCCGTTTTGTCCCACCCGTGGGAGGAAGTGAGGCGTTCTTGTGGGGCAGATTGGGGTACTCCTCCAGATTTTGTTTCACACAGATTTTATTAACAAAATATGCCTATTTAAATAGGTCACTGAAGGGAAACATTAATGAAATATCTACAACTCGGAAACTAATGACTTTCCGCATGTTTTCCCGTGTCTTCATTTTATGCATATTTACAAAGTTCACAGAACAGACACCGCAACGGAGCATCCTCAAATTACAAGTAGATGCTTTCCCAGGTCATCATTCTTACTTAAGATGGTGAAAGGACAGAAACAGCAATGAAACATCTACAAATAAATCGTGTTTTCCTCATGTTTTCCCTTTTTTTAAAAATTATATGCCTATTTACTAAGACAAAATAAAGGAAACAACAATTAAACTTTAAGCAGAAGAATTGTCGCCGTTTCAAATTGTTGTCACGACAATGGTTCGATCGTTTCCGGTTTGGAAATTACATCTGAAATCGACGACGAGCAGTTGCGGCACTCAGTGGAAGCCGATCCGAGGCAAAGTACCCACAACTTAGAGACAGCACCTGGCTGCGCCCAGTCCATGATCGTGACGCACCTGGCTGCAATCGGTAAGAAGAGCAAGTTGGGTCAGTGGGTACCACACGATCCGACCGACCATGACCGCGAACTCCGTGCTGCGGTGTGCAACTTCGTTGCTGTCGTGCGAGCGCACAAACGACTGGCTGGATTCCGTAGTCACTGGAGACGAAAGTGGATGCCGTACGTCAACAAGTTGACGTACGAAGCTTTTAAATATATATTGTGACGGATGAGGATGGCATCGAGAGGGCTGAGTGGGTCCGATGTCCCGGGTTCGGTGGTGTAGTGGTAGCACACCTGACCGGCAAATACATTTTTTACCGCCAGCAAATGGGGAAACGTATGAGACTGAAACTGGGTGGCATCGAGTTCCCTGAGTCTACATCTCAGAAGATATAACAATTTTTGTCAAAACCCATCAGGGCACTTTTTTAAAGTCCCATTTTCCCCATTTGCCATTTCGCAAAGAATAAACGAATTAATCACTATCCAAGGTAATGGAGCGCCGAAGGCGCGCCCATATCGAGTTTGTTTGTCCTTCGGGCAAACAAACTCTAGTTTGTTTGCTAGTAGATATATAGAGCCGCTATACCATCCCATTTTGCCCCATCAGCACCGTCTATAATTAAGAAGTCGCCAGACAAAAGGTGAGTGAACTATGGAAAAAATGACTTCTTATAGTTGACTTTTTCTATTTCGGCAAAGAAAAATATCGAATCAATGTTCCCATGTTACTTTGTTCCATTCATCAAAAATCCAGAACAAAATAAAAGAGTATCCTTATTTTGCAACCGAGTGCCGCCGTGCCTGAAAACTTGCATGCGAGGTGGGGGGGGGGGGGGGTCGTAATAGGGGATATTGCCGATAGATATTGGCCTGAACTCAGCTTTTGAAATCGATGGAGTGGAGTGTTGTCAATTTTTCTGCGCGTTTGATGTCTTAGTCGTTGCAGACGTTAGCAGCGAAAGGTCTTCCAGCATCCCTTTTGTTTTGATAGCAGATGCGTTTCGACGTCCAGAAAGTGTTTCGGGGGTGATTCCCGCTCAATCTGCATCTTTCCATTTCACCCTGCACGGAGATCCCATCAGAAGCGCGGAAGGTTTGCCATCGCTTTCATTTCCCGGCGTTGCGAACGAGTTATATCATCAATAGATTCGCGAGAGAGCTGAAAAGGAACAGTGAATCACGCAGATGTTTCATTTCTTTTCGGTGATAATGCAGCCAAAGCTCCTAAAACCAGCTGGAAACTACAGTTTCCCTGCCTTTTTCTCTGAGAAGAAATAAAATAGACGAAGATTACAGCAAATATATATTCTTTTTCCTCTTCCAGTGTAAAAAAATAGGCAACATCAAGGAAAAGTTGAAAACTGCAATACTTTTATTTCTTAAAGTGTATTAAGGAACCAAAGTCGAACGCCACAACGAAATGACGAAAAATGACGATAATGAAAAATGACGATAATGAAAAATGACGATAATGAAAAATGACGATAATGAAAAATGACGATAATGAAAAATGACGATAATGAAAAATGACGATAATGAAACGATGGGAAGATTCAGGATGCTGAACCTGGCGGTGGACACCACTGAGCGTCCCCGGTGCTGTTCTTGATGTAGTCCACATAGCCTGGAAGGGAAAAGACGTGTCAATATGCGCTCGAAAGAAGGGATGTCGGATGGTGTCCCAGGTTCGCACTTGCTGTTTTCGTGAAGACTGCATCGTAATGATGCCAACAATCAGGACTCGTATTGGCGATGACTCCGAAGTCTTCATAGTAACCAGCCCGAGTTTGGTACATCAAGGGTCTCCCGGAACACTCACCGTAACCCTAGGAACATATTCTTTTAAAGATATCTTCAGTTCCAGTTACTTTTGACTTGAGTCTTTTTCTCCCACTTACGTAACAGACTTTTACTGCTCCCTCGGCACATATGAAGCTGGTGAAATTCGCGTAGAACGAGCCGAGCGAACCAAACGAGCCGTCGCAATTCTCTCGGACCTTCATCGTCGTTTCCATCAGCTTCATCGAGGCAGGCTCACCTGAAAAGCGGTTCGACCTCTTAATGGTTAATCGTGTGGTTCCGTCAGCGCGGTCAGCTGACTCACCCCCGATTCCGCCCCATGCGGCGATTGTGACCGTTTCTCCAGCACGGGGGATGGCACTCGAGGAGGAGAGACACATGGGGCGGATATGGGGATAAATTTGGAAGTTCACCGGAGTCTGAAGTCTTAGCAGACCGATGTCGTTGAAAATGTTTGTCGGGGTACCAAGTCCAGGATGCATGATGCGAATCGCGGGAATATCAACGGATTGACTTTCAGATGAAGTCGATCTATCCAGGTCTCCCAAGGTCGCGTATAAGATTCCTGGTGGGCTGAAGTGGCGACAGAAGATTTTCACATAATATATAAATGCGCATTTTCGAGGTGGGACATTGGTGAATAAGTACACACACTACTCTCACCCCTCCGAGACAAAAGGCAGAAGTGAGAACATATCTATCATTGATGCGGGTCCCTTCACATCTGAATGATCCTGGATTACCCTCACCATCCAAGGAAATTTTCCCTGATTAGGAACAGGGGTTACGCCAAGTGTTCTGTCAAATTCCAACCCGCGTGTGCCTTTCGCAGGGTTCTCTCTTGGGTAGAGCTCAGATCTGGAGGCGATCCGAGAGATTCCGCAAGCTAAGAGATTATTTGGGGCAATTATTGGGACGGTGCATGGTCTTAAATGAAAAGTGGAATGCTTGACGTTCCCTTTCCGGGAACTTACAATACGAAGGTCTCGGTGGGGTCGCAGCACCTGAAAAATAACCGGACAAATTGCATATCTTAAAATTCTTCTCTGCTCAGTCTTGGGTGTGCTTTTCCTCGAGTGTAAATCTTCCCGCAAGCCTAAGTGCTGAACTTGGTGAAGCGATTCGGCTCTCAAACCCACACAATATTAAAGTAAGTCAGGAATTTTATTGGACCTGGTCTGAAAGTGGAAGAGGAGAAAAAAAAGGAACATCGAAAATGGGTGAAATTTCGCATTTCAACTCGCTGATAATTCGAAACGAAATGGGAAGAAGGAACCGAATCTATCCATTCCGAAACATTTTGAAAAGAGAATGAAAATAGAACGGAGAAAATAGCCAGTGCTGAAGCACAACATTTTCTCGAACCCGAAAATCCAAGTTACAGTATTGCATATGTAATAATGTGAAAATCAATTTTCAAGGTTTTCCCTTTCTTCAACCTCAGCCCCCCCTTCCCACCTTCCCACCATCCCACCTTTACCCTTCCCCCCTTCCCCCCTTCCCACCATCCCCCCTTCCCACCTTCTCAACGGAACTCACTAGCGTTAGGCCTAGGCCTAACCAACGGACTGCCTTCGAGTCAGGCCGAACCCAACTCAAGTAGCAATTTCGATCCAAAATAAATCCATTGGACGTACCCTCATGGGCACCTGGACATCCAATGCATATCCTCCTCGGAAATCCACCAAATGACAAAATGTCTCGTCCAAGGATAATCCTTGGACATATCCATTTGATGGCATGTCGGATGTCCTTTTTTTAAATATCCATTGGAGATTCCCTAAGGGAAAGCTCTCTGGTGACCATTGAGGGATGCAGCAATGGCAATTGCAAACCCCATCCCCAGGTAGGAATGGTGCAAAATTTGCATGCCAATTAATATTCGTTGCATGGGAGAGGAGTACTTCCTGAGATTACGAAAAATAATCCTGATAATATCCGAAGATAATCTCCTCACGTTCCTGCGAAGAAATAGACCAGAAGCGCCTAAATGAAAAGAAAGGAATTACTGAGATGTTACTCACTTCTTCCAATCCTTGCCTCTCGATCAATAGACTGTTTCCCTTTGCCAAAGGCGTCGTGATTTTGGATCACCCATGGCTACTTGGGTACCGTTTTTCGTTCAAAAGAAACTTTATCCTCGATCTAGCGACCAATTAGGCCTATAAGTATTAATCCCTGGTCTTCGAGACGCCTCGTTGAGGACGTGTAACGCTGTTTGATATTAATTAAAGAATTTATTTGATATCAATATCAAATTAGAAATTTGATATTAATTAAATACAAGTAGATTGGCAATTTCAAATCTATTGCTTGTAAGTAATATATGTTCATTGTTCAGTAGGTCAGAATCTTCGTGGGCGTGTTACAAAAAAGTGCAGCTCGAGCCGTAACCGAAGCGAGAGGCATAGAAGAAACTCGGTGATTAAATAAAATATTTGGGGACTGTGTTCAAGGAAACGATTAGAGCAGGGAGACAAGATAGGCTCCAGAGTCGAGACCCGCGAATGTAGGGGAAAAGCTTGCATGAATAATATAGATGCACGGGATTCGTCGGCAATGACAACCGTGATTGTGGCCTACTCTTCACGTTCCAAGCCTGTGAGGGTGAAACTGTTGACATTTAATGGGATTGTATTGAAATTTGTACATTTTAGACCTGAGACCCTTTTCCATTCCCCCCTTCCTTCCTTCTCTTGTTAGCTAGTGGATATGGAATCGAGTGAAAGAAGCCATTGAGATCGTTTCCTGGTCAGGCCGGTGACAAAAATAAACGAATACTATAAAGCCCCAAATAGAATGTAACAGCTACGGCAGCAGCGAACCGACCGCAGGTGACTGTGCAGTTGAATCCCGGTCCACTCGCCCCGACGCCGTACAGATTCACTTTCAGGCTTCTTTCGACGTTCACCGGGTTCTGAAGCGCCGTCGACGACCCGCAGACCCTGCGACAAAGATTCCCGAACGAATTTGCAGCTTCTGGCGGTTATTACCTCGAGAGAAGTGTCTCACCTGTTGCCGTTATAAGTGAAGGCAGCCTGCCAGCAGAGGCAACTAGAAGGAAGTTCGAAAGCGGAGCACTGGAGAGTCATGGCCACCGAGCACTGCATAAGAAGGTAAAAAATGAATCGTATTAATAACCCTTTCGAAAATGTCGAAAGGAATTCTAAAGGAATATATAGGAATCCTATAAGAACATACAGGAATCCAATAGGTTCCCTATAAGCCAATAGGGTGCCCTGTAAGACCTATAGGGTTGCGTTTGAAGTTCTCCTTCAGGCCACCGGATGGAGGTATGGGTCTCGCATTTTTCACAGTACGCCAGTACAGTAGTTATCCATGGAATCACTTCTCACAGGAGTATTTTATACCTCCCCGTATGTCTCGCCTTGCCTCATTGTAGCAAGCAAGAAACTTGGACACTTCCTTATTTGTCATCACCATATTCCGAATTGAATGAAGGAGTTCACGCCAGAAATAAGCTCATATTCCCTACGAGAACCCCGTACGAGAAAAAGTGCATTTTATCCGTGAGGAGTTTCACTAAAGAGACGTCTTCGCAGGTTCTTTTCTGCCATTTCCTCAGTCCGAGAGAAGAATGATTCTTCTCTCAACGGAAGGAAACGGACGAGCAGTTAGGCACATACTCGCAACATATGTGCGCTTGAGCAAAAAGTTACGCAGGTGTAGGCAGAACTACAGGGTGCCCAGTAGAAAACCAAAGGATTGCAATTAGCACACCTTTAACAACGAAATGATGTCTTCTATCGACAAGTATCTAATATATATAGATGATCTTGACTGACTGATAATTCTAACCATAATCTAGAGAAGTTAGAAATCTGAAACTTGGTACACATGTACCTTTTTGGATGCAGAGTTCAGAAAAAATCGGACTTTGGAGGTACTTGCCCGGGGGACACCCATTTCTTTTTTGGGGGGGGGGAATATTTTTGATTATATATATTTGCTCCAGTCAAACGGAGAGACATGGAAAGCTGAAACTAGGCATGGACGTGCCTACTGAGACACAAATTTCAGGGAAAATGTCAAGTTTAAGATGCATGCCCTGGGGACAAACTTTTGGGGGGTGACGTTTAAAAAAAATTTTTTATTGGACCATTTCAAACTGCAAAATTTTTCAAACTACAACATGCAAGTCCCTGTTGTTGATATTGATGGAAAGAGCGATCTTCAGAATTATTTGCATGATAATGACTCTACAACAGACCCCAATTTGTTGAACCTCGCATGTGAGTCGATACGAGAATATTTGAGATTGTACTGAAAGTGAATCGACCGTGATCGAGTGTTCCGACAGTTCTAAGTAATAGTTCGATCTGTCTTTCAGGATAAACGTCCCGGGACAGGCACGAAAATGCCAAACGTTACCGAGGGGGCCTGATTTTGAGACAAGTTCCCGCTGTCTAGAATGATCTCAGGCTAAATTTATTTTTATGCTTCAGGCATCATCAAATCTGAGCAAAAACTGCGATGAAATTCAATTCAGCGAAATCATTCCATTCATAACGGTGCTCTCAAAACTGGGTCGATTCGATTAAATGTACTTTTGTTGTAAAAAAATTGGATACTTAAATGATACCCATTCAAATGGATATCTTAAACTGCTCGAAAGAATTTGAAGTCGGTGAAATTAATATTTTTTTATGGCAATAAATGCCCTGATGTATCTCGAAGTCCTGAAGCATAATCTTGCAAATGCAAAAAATGGTCCTCAGGCGAATTCCGTGTCCATAATTTCGAAATTCATTTTCCAAACGAAATGCGTTATGTCACATTGCCGTTGAATTGCCGTTTGTTAAAAGAGAGGCTGTTTTTTTTAAATGCGTATTTGAGGCGAGAAATCGGCGGGACGATTTTCGTTTGGTCAAAAATTTCCCTGAGCCAATCTATTCTCAAAACCAGTAGGAACAGCTAAATATAATTAAGTCTCTGCAAAATTATCTCTTCTAGTGACAACATTGCATGACAATTTCGCGCGTTCTATAGTAAATCAGAGGAACACAAATACTCCCAAGTTATGGTAAATTTGAACTCACGTCGAAGGTCCAGCTGCAATTATGCACAGATGGGAAATTCCCCGGATGGTTCGCACATGAGAGTAGCGGTCTCCCCCGGTGCCAGGCTCAAGGTCGTCCCGCACGACGGCATCTGTCGATTCCCTGCGAAAGGAACTTCTTTTGAGGTCAAAGCGTGCAATTTAGACTAAGTGCAGGCGAAGGCGTATACCTGGCACGGTGGAATGCAATTGGGGAAAGTGATGGGCTCCTCCCGCCACCTCGACCTATCGAAAAACAAAAATGGAACTTTCGAAATTTTACTTAAATGTTTATCTTATCAGAGCTGGAGAGGACCTGGAATGAAGCCCAGAATACGAATGAGAGGAAGACGACCATAGCAGAGGCTTCCATGGTTGCTCCGAAATTCCATATGGAGACTCAGTACATTCGCATGTCTCTGGATGACATGTGAGTACCGACCTCCAGGAAAGGCGAGAGTAGCAATTACGACAGGTGTGCTGCCTTCTGGCACAGATGGGAAACGAAATTTGATTTCGGATCTGGTGGTGATAGGAGGAGGGACGTGAATTGCGCATTGCGATGAGACCCGTAGTCTCGGAACATTTCTCCCATCGGTTCTGAAGAGTGCAAACATGACACTAGATTATAAACATAAATTAGAGATAATTATAATATTCCCTTTTTATTTGCTGGAGCCCATGAAGAAAATCACATTTGTGGTTCATTTCTGTGGAAAGCACTGAAATCATGAAGGAAACGAAAATTAAGGCCTTTACATTCACTTGTGCAACAAAGGAACTGTTGCTTAATCCTGAATGGAAAAAAAACAAATTTTCAAAGTTGTACAGAAGGGATCTACATCCAACAACAGTGAGACATTTCAGTGCATCAAGTTGATGCATTCTACTGCATCAACTTGATGCATTCTACTGCATCAACTTGATGCATTCTACTGCATCAACTTGATGCATTCTACTGCATCAACTTGATGCATTCTACTGCATCAACTTGATGCATTCTACTGCATCAACTTGATGCATTCTACTGCATCAACTTGATGCATTCTACTGCATCAGTTTCAGACGTGTATGCTTGGAATAGGTGATTTTTCCATGCACCCACGAGATACCACTGGAAGTCTCACCTCGATTATCCGGCTGACTCGAGGGTCCGCGTTGAATCCAAGTTCAAAATGTCCCAGCATGGCATGAATTGATTTGATTTTTCAGCCTCACTAGGCGAGTGATGCCGAAAAGGAAATCCCCCATATTTCCGATGGATGGCCTTCTTACTCTGGATTGCTTACAGTATCATAATTATAGATACAGATACAGTATCATAATTATAGATGAAAATTTGCGCTGAAGGCACTGAATTTTCTCGAATCTTTCCTTGAGTCGTTTTCAGTCGGTACGATGAGAAATCACGAAATCGGCGAGGAAACGTGGAAGAACGTCACGGACGCAATCGGGAAAATGTTCCTCGTGCTCGTCATCTCGTGTTCCCGGAAAGACCGAGTCTGCGATGGCGACTGGGAAAATGGGAAAAATGGCAAGGCTGTGCCATTTTGCGTCGACCGCATTACGGCCTCGGGCCGGGGTTCAACTGCACCGTCGGCTGCGGTCTGTTCCTTTTGGCTAAGTTTTTTTTTGCATTCCGTCCGGGTTTTTGCGATGCCCCCTCCCTCTCTCGGGTATTTGCTAAACTTAAAACACTGGCAAAGTTTCCGTCTCGTTGCCCTTTCCGTAAACCTTAAAGGCTTTCCTCGATTGTCCTAAGGAAGAGTGGGACTTTCCTTCCAAATGTCACAATTAGAACTCCTTCAGGCTTCATAGGACCCAACCCCGTTAACGTTTCATGGACAGAATAGTTTTCTTGGCGAAAAAGAAAGTTCTACCTTCTCGATTTCAAAGCATTCTGCGAGTTCATGCACAAATTCTCGTGAACCATCCGATATTAATTTTTATGGACCATATTGGCAATGAATTGGCATTCTTTCACCCTGTCCAGCAGTAAGAGCTGTAATGCCCTCTTTCCTTGGGGGAAATACAACGAGATGAATACAAAGAGCTTGTTTCCCAATCGCGAAGGAAATTGCACAGATGATCATGACTGGCTGATTGACGCTAATTTTAAGTTCAAGATATTGTGGAAGAGGGGCAAGAATCGTGCAATTCCATCAGTAATAAGATTAAAAATCCAAACGAATATGGATTTTTTTTTTAATCCATGGAATTTTTCGCCAACCTCTTTCTGAATGAGTCCTAATCTCTCAGATGGAATTTGATTAGATATACGTCACGTGGTAGGCTTGTGGTGCTGTTGAGAGATGGATAGGCACTATTTGGCGTTTGGCGCTATTGTAGCAGGCTGAAGTTGGCGTAGGTTCAGCGCCAAGCCTCACGTGAACGGTATTTGCATGGTTGGGAAAGGAAATACATTGTTACCATTTGCACAAGGTTTAGTATTTCTAGAATCCTCCGAACGGAGGTCACCAGGATGTGGGTGAAATACACTCGAAATACACTGCGGAGGAGTGGAAGAAAATGGCAGGCGAGAATTGCACTGCCGAGGAGTAGAAGATCCACGAATGCCTCGGGAATGCCTGGAGAATGCTCTGCGAATCCCCCAATATCGGAGGACTAATTATATTTAATTATTTATTATATTATAACAATATTTAAGGGCAAAGCTGGCCGGAGAAAGTAGTCCTCCGGCCGAAGGTGAGGGGGCTGGGTTCATGCCCGATGGCGAGGATAAAAAAGGAGTGAAAGGGGTCACAGAGGATAGAAAAACCCGTTCGAGTACATGACATATACAGTCCAGGCACGGAGTCCCCACCTCAAACTTCACCCCCTTCCCCAAGGGGGTATTAGCGCCTATGAAACATACTTGAGTGGCTCTCGTATCCAAGACTCCCTTTGGGTAGCGAGCTGGGGGGGGGGGGGGGGGGGGAATGCCCCCCGCCCCC